AATCCACTCAGATGCACTTCGGAGCATCAACTAACAATTCTTTGGCTACCTCTTAACCCTAAAGGGAATAAAGGCTGATCCTAAGAAAGTACATGTGTTGCTCGGCATGCCATCTCCATGGTACCAAAAGAGTACAGAAGTTGATTGATCATATTATATGATTGTGCTGATCAATTTCCAATTCTAGTGACAAATGTGAAACATTTTTCAAACCTTTAAAAAAAGCAAAGAACTTTGCTTGGTCCAAATAATGTCAGTAGATATTCAAGAAATTTAATGAGCCATTGGCATCTCCACCGCTTCTCTGGAGTCCCAAATTGAATAAAGTGTTATCTTTATACTTGGGAGTCGATCCTAAAGCCATTAATACAATTTTAGTCATAAAAATGCTTGAGAAGCAATTATGATCCACTACATTAGTCGTGTTCTTTGTGGCGCCAAACTCAAGTACTCCTTCAATGAGAAGCAAACTTTCTTTCATGTTGTTTCCATTTGTAGACTTCAATCATGCTTCCAGACATATCTAGTCTGGGTTATTATCGATCACACACTCAAATATGTCCTCAAGCATTCCAATCAATTTTTGAAGTGGGCGGTGGAAGTTAACAAATTCAACATACCCTGTGTGCCCCAAATCAAGATTAAAGTACAATAAATAACATATTTCTGGCTAGATTTTTTTGTGCTAAGCAAATTGAATGAACGTGTACCTAATAAAAGCCATACATGGACACTGCACATCAATGGAGCTTCAAACCAGACTGTGATAGAACTCAGTCTCGCTCACCTCTATCATTCATTTGAAGTTGGATTTTTGCTCACAACAACCATGTCGAATATGAAGCTTTAATTTCCAAGATATGCTTTACCTGCGAGAAGGGAGCCTGATATCTCATAGTAAAATCTAACTCATATTTGGTGTTGAACCATGTCAACAGAGAATTCAAACACATGAATTATGATGGCTAAATACCTGAATATAGCAAAAAAAGAGATCTGGAAGTTTGAAGGATTTATTATCGAGCATATTGCCCCGAAGGTAACCAACTAGCTAACCTCCTATCCAAGTGCATCCACTTGGGGGAGGGGATGCCATAAAGACTGGTCGGCCGATCATCAAAGAACCAGAGACAATAAAATTTGAGACTGGAGGACTGACAAGTTAGATGGATCCTTACATCCAATACCTTAGACCCTTAGAAGATGTCACCGACCCACAGAAGATTAAAGCCACACAGTAGTTGTTGATCGAAAGGAAGCTATTAAGCAGATCAGTCACATCATTGCACTTGAGATGTATAAAGGAAAATGAGGCGAAAGATGTCCTATGAGAAGTGCACTGTTGAGAATTTAGAAGTCATTTTGGAATAAAAACTATAGCACACTGAGTACAACAACGGGGCTGCTTTTGACCTACATCTCAGAAAGACACTAAAGAATTTTTCAGAAGATACGAGCAATACCAAAAGTAGGCACTACTGCAATATTAGCCAACATACAAGCTTTAATCGATTATTAGCCCTGCATCGTTTAGAAATTAGACATCCTTGGACTGTTTCCACTATCGTGAGGCCAACTTAAGTTCCTTCTTATCGAAGTGGACTATTTATCCAAATGATTCATAGCCAAGGCACTCGCTCAGATTATCATAGAGATTGTCCGAAGCTTCATTTCGGCAGACCTTTTCTATCTTTTTGGGTTACCAATTGATCATAATCCTAGATAATGGAACACAATTTGTGGATCAGGGGGTAAATAACTTCAGGTAAATTAAAAGGATCAACTTGAAGTTTGCATATGTGCACCATCCTCGGCCGAATGGATAGGCCAAGATGACAAAAAAATCATCATGAACTTGCTCAAAAAAATAATTAAAAGGGCAAAACAAAATTGGGTCGAGGTCATTTTATATGTTCTATGTGTGGTCCGAATGACAACCAATGACAACCAGACATATACTCAATTCATGATGTCACACGGAATAAAAACAATATCACCAATCAAATATAACCACCATATCCAGTGGATCGTAGCAGGATCATCATTCAATGAAGGAAATCTAACTAAGCTTTAGGAAGGAAACGATAGAGATGTGATGCTCACACATTGCGGAGGAAAAAAGACTTGACTCGGCTCTTGGTAGGAAGAAGTGAAGAAGAGAACGATTTGATACTACAACAAACGTATTTGATAGAATGCTTCCATTTAAATAGACCTTGTGTTGAAGAAGATCGATCGAGCTGCATGTGGACAAACAGTCAGAAAATTGAATTAGACATAAAACAACTCATTCAGTATTGGCCAATAAGTTTTCCCCGAAGTGTAAAAATTGAAGACATAAACAAAAAATAATTCCTTAGAACATGGAGCGAAAATAACCTAAAAATTTTCTTTCCTTAGAAAAATCTTTATATTATTATGAAAAAAATAAAGGTGTTTTCATTAAATCTTGCATTTTTTAAATATACAAAGAAATATTAAAGACATGGTTCAACTAACTATATGCACAATCTCGAGTTCAAATGACACTCAGAGAACTTGAGGAGTTCACGGAAAGGATCTTAGGCATCTAGGAAATACTTGGGAAATTCAAACCCAAATAGTGGTGCTAACGATAGTATATGATGCCCAATCGACAAAAAAGTGACTAAAAACTGATAGCGACACAAGATATTCAATCTATAAAACTCATCTAAAAATGTCCTACAACAACACAAGATGTTTGATCAACATTATCACAAAAATTGATCATCAACGTCTAAGCATCAATAAAAACCTGTCCCTTAACTCGGCTCAGGTCAAGCTCTAGCGATGATTTCTTGCCCACTAGTGATAAGATCCATGAAGGGTAGTGAGCAAATCAACATGGCAGCAAGTTTCAATGGTCACACCCGTGAAGATTGCACCAATATCCACTGAATATGTCTAGGGAAATGTGAGGCTCATTCAAGGCAATGACCCAACCGAACAACTAAGACATATAAACTAAGAAATTTGAGCGGAGTTGTAACACATCAAATGCAACCAAAAATCTTTTTGTTAAGAGTCGAAATATTAGCCACGACAAACATTTATCACAAGTAAAAAATGTGATAAACATAAGATAAAGGTAAAAGCAGACCAAAAACAACCTTTCAATTCTCGAATAAAATAAGTCTGAAATTTCTGATATATTTGAGAATACCCCGATTACAAAAAAAAAGAAAAGAAAAGAACTCCCAAACAAAAAAGAGTTTGTCGATGACACTTCAAGGAAAATCTCTCACAACCTTTCTATTTTTTCATGAAGTTTTATCGTTAATATGCATATAAAGACTTTGTCACAAACACTAAAAAAACTTGCCCCTCACAAGCGAGTTCCTAGAAAGTAAAGGGGAAGTAGTCTACACTTTTTGGACTCTACTCAGTCGTCTGACCCACAAAGCGCAAGCATCGGTAAAAGCCTATGTCCCCTAATTCAACACATGTCAAGCTTTTGAGGTGGTTCCCATCCCACCAATGACAAAATCTACTATGAGTAGCGTGCAAATGAACCAAATAGTGAGTTTGGACGGTTAGCCCGCAAATATTGTAACAAGATTTGCTTAATACGTTTAGCGTAAGGTGCAGCCCGTCCAAGTCGACAACCTAATCTAGTGACTGAGATATAGGATGTGTAAGATTTAGGTTAGGTGATAGCATCTCAAACTCAATCATTAGCTTTTTCAGCCTCATTTAGTCACTCAATTTTATAATATCTTACAAAATCACCACTCATATTCTTACTTAATTTTTTTTTTTCTTATATTTGGTGATACAAACAATATTAGTTTTATTTTTATAATTCTATTATTGTTTTCGCGGTTGTCTTTCAAAGATATAAGAAGATTAAAAAACTAAAACTTGTTTGACTGAATCTCTCAGAGGGACGACTCGCAGTCTGGACAACTCACATATTTGAACATCCGCCGTCAGGATGATTTGCTACCTGGAAAACCCACAAATTGAACAATCCATAGCCTAGACTAAGGGTCCAAATGAGTCGAGTTAAGCAAAAGTAATGTTGAGCTCGTGCTTGTCTCTTGTGACAAATGTGAGCTCGAGCTCACCTAGTACTGGTATAAACCGACTTGCGAGTTCGAACTAAAAACTCAATTTTTTTACGAGAGCTCACCGGAGAAGGAATTTGTGGCCAGAGGAGGTGGAGGAGGCAAGTGGAACTCAACGAAAAATACATCGACATAACTAGTAATAGATCAATCAAACCGACTCGCAAGCCATCGAGTTGAGTCGTGATAAGCTCGAGCTCTTAAAATACATGAGCTTAAGTTTGAAGACGAGTTGGCTTGCGAGCGAGCTCGACTCATTTGTACTCCTAGTCTGGATGACCCAGTTCAACCAACCGAGCTGACATTGCCGATCTGAAGACAATTAAGCTCAGTCAGTCGAGCCATAAAACAAACGAATGACAAGCTCATACATTTAAAATTCCTAAAATATCATGTAAAACCCTCATTAGAGCCAACAAACTTGTAATTTCATATTTTGTACCATCTCGTCTATAAATAGGGCAAGTATTTCATGAGAAATGGTGGCTAATCGATATATTGATTATTATTCATTATTGAGTATTTTTCTCTGTCCCTCTCTATTGTATCTCTATTCTTTGGTTGTGATTTAAGGACATATAAAGATTCAACAAACATCTACAATTATAATTATTATAATTATGTTACACAAATAAAATTTAATGTTTTTTAATCCAATAAAAAAATTAATATAAATAAATATTTTCATTAATTATTTAAAATTAAAATAAATTAAACACGTACAAATAAATATTCGTCAATATTAAATTGATTTATGAATAAAATTTAATAATATTATCTGACTTTGGCTGATTTGGTTAATGAACAAATCAAAATCTGAAATTTCTTGAAAACTCGTTGCTTTAAAGTCCCGTAACGAATTTTCTAAGAGTCTGACCAGCGGCTGCGCGTCATTTTTCCCCGCTTCGCTTCGAAAATCCGACAATTTTCCTGCTCTTCCTTCCCCCCTGCTTCTAGAACAGAAACAAAGCAGGCTAGTTTAGCTGCATCCTCTAGAAAAATCACAATTTTCTTCGGCTCCTCCCGTTTCAATGACAGCCTTCTCTTCTCCTTCTCTCCACCGTTTCTTCCCGAAACCCAAACGCAATCTCAGTTCCCCACCCTGGTCAGATGCCACCCGCTTGCTGCGGCGGCCTCGAATGTGTTCTCTGCGCCACCTGCGCCCGCTGGGCTTGGCGCCGCTGCTCCCACGCCGGCGCCCACGACAGCGCTTCATGGCCTCCCGCTTCCGCCCCAGATTTCGCGCCCATCCCCCGAGCCTGCCGCGCCATCCTCGCCTCATATGAAGACGACCTATCGCACCCTCGCTGGGCGCCATCGCCCTTTGGCTACCGCATGGATCCCTCCTCCGTCATCCGCCGCGCCACCGACGCCGACACCGCTGACCGCTGCCCTCCATACCTTATCTACATCGACCGCGACAACTTGGAGCTCGTTCTCGCAGTACGCGGCCTCAACCTCGGCCGCGGCGCGGATTACCGCCTCTTGTTTGATAACAGACCCGAGGCCCAACGTTTTGATGGGGGCTACGTGCACCGGGGGTTGCTCAAGGCTGCTGTTTGGATTTTGAACCGCGAGGCAAAGACGCTGAGAGGGGCATTGATGGAAGCAGGGCCGGAGTGCCGGTTGGTATTCGCCGGACATTCGTTAGGTGCAGGGGTGGCGGCGATGATGGCGGCGGTGGCTGTTAATTCCTTGGACCGGTTTGGTGGGATTGGGAGGGACTTGGTGAGCTGCTATGCCGTCGCACCCGCACGGTGTATGTCGATTGATCTGGCAGTCAAGTACGCCGACGTCATACATTCTGTCGTGCTTCAGGTGCTGCTACGACTTGGCTTCTTCTTTTTCTTTTTTATTCTCTTCAGTCATTTCGTTATTATAATACAAACATATAGTAATTGTGAGCACAATTACCACAAACATGCTAAATTAGGCTTTGTGGTGTAATTTTGATTTTGGTGAACCGAAATAATGCATTTGAGGGGTGCAATTCAGCATAAAAATGCAGTATTTTCTTGTATCTTACTGTATAATCCTTTTTGGGTCTATAGCTGTAGAAAATATTCCGTCTGGACACCGAACGTCAGGACTATCAACTACAGGCGGCCACGTCGCCATACACGTCATTGTCAGGCGACGTGACCTCCAGTGGTTGGCCGTCGCACGTCCAAAGAGAATATTTTTTTCTCTATATGTGGTTCAACAAAAAGGAAAAAAATGTGCTTTCCTTGCATTAATTACTTGCTAATTAAGAACCTCTATGTCGTCTTTCAGGACGATTTTTTGCCAAGAACGCCCACACCCTTGGAACATATCTTTGGATCTATTTTCTGGTAAGCACGATATTTCTGAATTGCTGCTTTTTTTTTTTAAAGCCATCATACTTTTTAACCAATCTTTTTTTTTTTTTTTTCCTTTGGCTTTGTACAGCTTACCTTGTTTGCTATTCTTAGTTTGCATGAGGGATACTTTGATACCTGAGGATAAAATGCTGAAAGATCCAAAAAGACTTTACGCTCCAGGTCGTATATATCATATTGTTGAGAGGAAGCCATGCAGGTATAAAGTTTTAAAGTTTGTTCTTCTTTCTATCAACACCATTTGTAATATCCAGATCTATGTTACTCAAAATTGATTTTCTTACATTTACTTTAGAGCATGAATGAGCCGATGATCTGAGTCTGAGTAGACCTCGCTCAATTATTCTTGTCCTCCAAACTTAGCATTTTGAACTTGAAAACCTTTTTAAGGGAATCTGAACACATCATCCTTTTTTTTCCCAAAATAATCCATTGGCTATTTATATGAGATCATTTTAAAAGAGGCTCAGAATAGTTTTAGCTCATATTAAAAGGCCTCTATGAAGTAATTTGACACTTTTAAAGGTTCTTGGATTAAAAAGATCTCCTTGAAGATCGAGAGATTACTTTGGTACTTTTCTCAGCAAATTTTAATTTATTTCAAATTGAAATGTTTCCATCTTTTATCAATTCAAATGCCTTAAAATATTCATTTTTTTTTTCCGAAAAATATTTTTAAATAGTTTGGACTCATCTACTATAAGTTCAAACTCATCTTTTGTTCTCCAACATATTTTTTGGAAGATTAATCTTTTTGTCTAAAATTGACTGCAATGAATGCTCCATATGCAGTTGCGGGAGAATGCCTCCTGATGTCAAAACAGCCATTCCCATTGAAGGAAGATTTGAGCATATTGTGTTGTCTTGTAATGCCGTTTATGATCATTCACTTGTTTGGATAGAACGAGAAGCTCAAAAGGCTTTAGATGTAAGTAAAAAGAACTCCATGTTTATTTAATTGACACAACTAAGCAAATCAAGTTTCAATCTAAATTTAGTATTTTCTCAGAGGATGCAAGAGAGTTGTGATTCGATGGTCCCTCCGACGCAGCCGATAATTGTAAGGGATCAATCCATTGATAGAGAGCACAAGGATGCGCTCGAGAAGGCGGTGCGATTGACTAAGTATCAATCTTTCAATTCGAATAGGAAACCTTATGATAAAATTTACATCCCACTTGAGAATGAAGAGGAGGTGAGATCTATGGGGCCTAAGTCTGATATAGAAGAACTGGTGGACAAGCTCTTTGACAATGTTGATGTTGTTGAAGATAAGGGAGCAGGAGGCTACAGTAAAGAGTAGTAGTAGAGATTTTGGTAGACAGTCTCTCACACGTTTATGAATGGGAAGATTTTGATACTTGTACACATTATTTCATTACTTTATGTATTATAGGGGTGGAGATGCATTTTATTTCTTGTTATACTTCGCATACTCATCCGGTTTTTTTTATTATTATTATTAGCATTAGAGGTAGTAGTGTGTATATATTATGATGCTCTGTGGGAGGTTAATGTTGTGTAAACATATGTACAATTTAGGATGGAGAAATGATAGAACTTATTATTTTTTAAAATGGATATAATTCTTTAGCTTTATATTTGATTATTTCCCCAAGAATTTTATTGTATAATTCATAAATTAAATTTCTCTGCATGAAGATTTTCTAACTTCTTAAATGTTATTATTAAATGTTTCTTAATTATTTATTTTATATATTCATGATAGGATTGGTGAAGCTATGTTTTAGATTCAATTTATGTTAAGGACAGAGGTAGACCTAAAAAGATTTGGACATATTATATAAAAAATAATCTTGATCTATTAGAGATAAATGGAAATATAACACTCAATAAGACATAATGAAGAATAAGTAGCTTAAAGAGCCATAAAACAGGGGATGATTGTTTAAAACAGTATCAGCATTTGCAAGAGAGAGAGGTGCTAGGCAGCTCACAAATAAGTAGCTTAAAGAAGAATGTAGTCATGAACATGGAATGGAACAGATCATATTAGTTTGATACACTGATTTACAGATTAATCTTATTTTTACAATGATTCAATGTAGGAGATAACAGTTCCCAAATGGCATTGACAACAATTCCCAACTTTTAAAACTTTTAATTTGGGTAATAAAATGCCGCCACCTACAACAATTATAAAGCTCACAATCCAAACAAACTCCTACTTACACACAACTAAGCTGCAAACATAGATACAGGGGAGAAAAAAAATAAAGGAAAAAAAAATCCCACACTATGATCTCCCAACATTACCATGTCGCTGATTCCGGAAGAAACTGAGGAGAGCCTGAGCCTGCAGACGAGTGGCAGAAATTTTAGTACATATTGACAGACAAGATGAAAATCAGACGATTGGGCTTAAAAATGATATCATTTCAGGAGGCATCCATCATCGCAATAGACATAAAAATTCTTAATTATCGTAAAGCTTAAGAGCCAAGATTGGATCATTTACTATGGCCTTATTTGAGAACAATTTTTTTAATTTATTTTTGCTTCTTAAGAAAGATCCTTTTTTTTTACTGATCTTTACTATAAAATATATATCAGTTTATTAAAAGAAAAACATTAAAAACAGAGTACAACAAGTTTCCAGTAATTCTAAAATATTTGTGAGAAAGAAAACAGGGTAACCTTGCTCTATCAACCTCACAATTCGAATCACATTGCCGTAAGATGTCACCAAGGAAGCTACAAGCATGCATTCATTGTCTTGGGTGGCAACAGAAACCTCGAGCAACATTGGAGGGGAAATCAACAGTCGCCAACAAGGCTCTGCTGGGGGCAATCAATGAGGTAATCATGCCAATGAAGAAAAGTGTGAGTGAGAAGGGGTTGTGATCAAGTAGTGTGGCACTGGAGGCAGGATTGGGTGCACATTTAGCGTTCACAAAAAAGATTCTTCCTAAGCACTAAGTCAATCTAGCACTTGCAATGCTTGGACTTAGAAATACAAATAGTATCTAAAAAAGAAATAAGGAAATGTTATTGAAAGAAATGAAGACTCCACTAAGGGATGAATGTTTACACACTTGATTATTTGGTAACTTTGGGTGGTTTCAAATGAGAGGGAGGAACCTCTATTTATAATCCTTCCTCCAGTTCGACTGAACATTCTAGATTACATTATAATAGATTAGCTTCTAGGTAGCTCTATATTATTATTTACATATACATGCTTCTAGAGTTCTCTTGAAACTTTCTCCTTCCAACATTTTTCTAGAATGCGGTGGAACCTTCTAAAATCTCTTATAGATTGTTCTCCTCTCTCCGGTGTTCGCTAGAATCTTCTTTCCCATGGTTGAGTTGCTAACCCCTTTAGAGATGACGGAATGTGACACTCTCCCTCACCTAAGCTCGCAAAGCGCTCATTGCACCTTGCTCCTGATACCGCTACAAATTTTCTTTGAATTGCCATAATCTATCTTTGTGTTCCCAACCGACTTCACTATGAGGTAGTCCTCTCCACTTGAAGAAGTACACTTTATAGTTTAGCACCCCTCATTGACGAATGATCCAATCAATAAGTATTTCATCCACTTATTTATCAAAATAAATGATTATTGTTGGTCGTGCTTGCTTAGATAATCCTCTTGGTGGATTTTCTTCGTATCATGATATGGCTTTAACATGCTTAAAAGAAAAATTGGATGAATTTTAACTTTGGTGGAAGGAGTATGTCGGAAACCTCTCCTGTCTGTTTGATCACTTTGAAAAGTCCCATGTTTATGTATTAATCCTTCATATACCTTTCTAAACGCCTTGTGAATTGTCGCCGTGCTAAATCGGCTTGCTCACGCCATGTTTTGGCAAACTTGAATGCAGTTCGACTCTTCCCTGCATATCGTCTGGTAAGTGATAGAGGTGTTGATGATCGTTGTACCATAATGATCTCGAATGGACTCTTACATGTGGCTTCACTTTATTGCAAATTGTAGGAGAATTGTGCAACGTCAAGAAGTTTGCCAATCTCGCCAATTGGCATTCACATAGTGCCAGAAGTATGCTTCCAATAAAGCATTAACCAATGTTGCCCGCCCATCACTTTGAGGGTGAAAACTTTTGAAGAAGCTTAATTCTAATCCTAGGATTTTGAGGAACTCAGTCCAAAATCTTTCGATAAAGCAAGAATATCGATCACTAATAATATTCTTTGGGACTCCCCATAACTTGACCATGTTGTGAAGAAATAATATGACAGCTTCTTTAGCTGTAAAATCGGTTGGGCCAACAAAATAGGTCGCATATTTGTTGAATCTATCCACCACAACTATGATACTTCCAAATACTTCGGACTTCAATAGACTAGAAATAAAGTCCATATAAACACTTCCCCATTGCCTCTCAGGTACAGGTAATGATTCCAATAAGCTCCCAAGTGATTGTTGGCCAGTTTTATCTTGTTGACAAACAAGGCAAGTTCGAAAGTATTCTTCGATATCATCTTGCATCCTTGGCCAATAATGAGTAGATTTTAAAAGAGCAAATGTGTGTTTCATTTGGGGATGTCATGCCCCTAAAGAGCCGTAACACTCCTTAATTAAGTCTTTTCTTAAATTTCCCATCTTGGCACGTATATTTCCCCACACATGATATAAATGATGTCTTCTTCTAGCCAAAATCTTTTGGTTTTGCCTTGATTGATCAAGGCAATATGATGCTATAAGCTTGAGAACTAGCCTTTAGATATTCCTAGATTCTTCCTGTTAGTGAGCTAGTGACTTCTCATAAACTTGTTAGCATTGCTTTTCGACTCGATGAATCAACTACCACATTTACCCTTCCAAGTTTGTACTCCATGATCAAATTCAGCTAGGAAGTCCTGCCACCTTGCTTGTTTTGGACTTGACATCTTTTGGGTTTGGACAAAGCTTGTAACAATAGTATCAATCAAGATCACGAATCTTGATCCAAGTAAGCAGTGTTGTTATGTCCGAAGGCAATGGGTGATATCACTCATTTATTTTTCTGGTATTGTGTAACGTCATTCTGTTTCATTGAGCTTTCTACTTTCGAAGGCGATTGGATGCCCTTCTTGCGTAAAAGAACACCACCAATAGCAAAATTTGAAGCATCAGTGTGAACTTCATATGGCTTGGTATGGTTGGGTAGTTGGAGTACAGGTTCTAACTTATTGCCTCTTTGAGATCCTGAAAGGGCCTTTGACATTCTCCTGTTCATTTTCATGGTTTGTTCTTCTTGAGCATATTGGTTAGTGGAGCTGCTTTTGTTGATTGCCCATTGATGAATCAACAATAATAATTAACTAGGCCAAGGAAGGATCATAGCTCACGTGCCTTTGAGGGTGGTTCCCAATCTTGAATGGCATTTATCCTCTTATCCTCCATGATCAAATTGTCATCCTTGATTTTGTTCCCTAAAAAATCCACTTCTGATGTAGCGAAGGAGCATTTTTCCTTCTTAACGTACAACTCATTCTTTCAAAGAATTATAAACACTTTCCTTAAGTGTGTAATATGTTCCTCAATGATCTTACTGTACACTACTATATCGTCCAAGTAGATGACTACGAATTGATTAAGGTATAGGCGGAAAAGCTTGCTCAATAGGTGCAAAATTTTTCTAGTGCATTGGTTAAGCTAGAGGGCATAACCAAAAATTCATATGAACCATATCTTGTGACACATGTAGTCTTCGGCTCATCTCCTCCAGCTATCTGTACTTGGTAGTAGCCTAAAAGAAGATCTAATTTTGAGAAGTAGCAAGCTTCTCCCAATTGATTGAATAAATCCGCAATCAAAGGAATAGTATATTTATTCTTGACCGTGATCTTATTGAGAGCCCTGTAGTCGATGCACATGCACAGTGATCCATCTTCCTTCTTTTGGAAAAGGATTGGGGCATCAAATGGGCTTTAAGGGGTCGGAACTCGGATGAAACCTATGGCCAATAACTCCATCAATTGTCTCCTTAGTTTTGCTAATTCAGAAGGAGCCATGCGATAAGTACCTATTGCTGGTGGCTTGGTTCCAACTCACTTTGATAAACAACTTCTCTTTTTGGTGGCAATTTCTTAGGTGGCTCTTTTGGCATGATATCTTGGTATTCTCTAAGGACTCATATCTCTTTAGGTATGAAAGATTGAAGTAGTTCATCATCTAAGTTGTGAAGAATAGCTAAGTAGCTCTCTTCATTTCTCTTCAATCCTTTGTGAAACTGCATGGTTGATAGCAGCTTCATGTCAGACTTTCTAGTCCTTATTGTTGGTACTATGCAAGCTTGATTGTCTTCCATAATGCACATGTTATTGACAAAGGGTATTGGGAACACCTTTACTTGATTCATGAATTCTAATCTTAAGTCAACTTTAAAATCATCCACTGAGATGACAGAGAAGTTCAATGTACATGACCAAGCTCCAACATTGTTCTTTATTCCTCCGACTACACCATGCATTGGTCTTGCTGCTGAATTGACTGCTTTGATGGAGCCTCCTCTTCTAGTTGCTTGTAATCCTATCCTTTGCTCTTCTTCAATGAGGTTGAAGTTATCAGAAGCAAGTGTATTCAACACGGGTTTCACAGACTTCCCACCTAGCACCATATCCACAAAGAGTAAACCTTTTAATTGGGATTTTGGAGAAGATTGCATCACATTCAACAATTTTATAGACCTTACCTATGTTGTCATATCGTTTCCTCTTGTTCTTTTTTTCTCCATGATGCCTTGCTAGCAGAGAGTTCAAGGCTTTCTTTTGAGGACACTCTCTTGCTCAATGAGGTCCTCCACAAAAGAAGCAATTGTTATGTGCCTTGATTTTGTTGTCTGTTTACTTTCCCCTGTTATTGCCCTTGGATGGATAATTCCTAAAAAATGTCTTTTTTTATGTTGGCCTTTATCTCCACCACCTTTGAAATAAGTACTCTTCTTATCTTTTGTCTTTGTGGACTCCTTTGTAAAGTCAATCAAACTCTCAGCAGCGGCAATGGCGGCAGCGAGATCATGCACTCTATGTCTTCTAAGCCCTGTCTTTGCCCATGTTTGAAGCTCATCCATGAAGTTAAAGAGAACATTCTTGTCTGATATGTTAGGGATTTCAAGGACCAAACTAGTGAAGTCCTTAATGTACTCTTGAATTGTTTGAGCTTCCACAATCGGGTTCTAGCCCCATCCTTTGCATTCTTAAGATAAAATTGTCGTTTGAACTCCTTCTAGAAAACAACAAAGCAGATATGGTGCACATACATTTTTCTCTGTCTCCTCACCTTTTCTCCACCAGAGCATAGTAGGTGTCAGAAAGACAAAGAGCTCCAAACTGAATCTTAGCATCATCATCAGGGTGACCGTGACTCCAAAGCATTGCTCAAGTCCCTCCCTCTTCTTTCAATAACCTCTCCTTGTTTCCACTTTACACGCTTGGTTACTTCAGAACCTTAGGTGGTTCCAAATGAGAGGGAGGAACTTCTACTTATAGTCCTCCCTCAAATACTAGAAAACTTTCTAGATAACTTTAGAATGGATTAAACTTCTAGATAGTTGTATATTATTCTATAAATATACAAGATTCTAGAGCATTCCAGACTATCCCAGAGTTCTCAACTTGAAGCTTTTCTCTTCCAACATTTTTCTGGAATGTCGTGAAACCTTCAAGAATCTCTTAGATTGTTCTTCTCTTTCTGGTCTTTTCTAGAATCTTCTTTCCTGTCGTTGAGTTGCTAACCCCTCTAGAGATGGCGAAGTGTCATAGTGCGCTAAAGTAACACCATGGAATATCCCTAGAGAAGCGACAAAGAAATTTATTGATGACAAGGAAAGGAATTTTGCTAGAGAAGCAATGAGGCATGTTGTGAGGAGGTGCAGAGAGTGAAGAGAGTGGATCCATGAAAAGAGATGTTAAGATGAAGATTAGATGGGATAGAGATGTTGTTCATATGCTTGATGAGTAGTTTCCTAGCTTAGCCTGGACAACAAGAATTCTTCTAAGGATAGATCTACATTCTGGAGCTCGAACATGACAATGGATTCATACGTGCAGACAAAAACTTGTGAATAATGCTGAACAAGGACACCATTGCATTAGACTTCGACATCAAAGCTAGTGGCCAACAACATCAACAATGTCCACGATGAAAACATCCCCATATAAAATTGTATTTAAAGAAGATTTGACGATTGAGAACAATAATAATGAACAAATTATTTTTTATTATGAGATGAGGACCAAGATAGTATCTCGATTATTTACAAGGGATCATTTTATACACTATATAAAAGGCCCAATTCAACCATCACACTCTTTAAACAGAGATTAAAATAATCATTTCATATAAATTATGGGAAACTAAAAATAATGGTGCTAAAAATAAAAATGCTAAAAATAAAAATATTTAAAAAAATACTTTTTATTTAATTTTTTAACAAATTTAAGTTATCACTTATCTTATTTCTATGCATATAGCAGCTAATTTTTCATATAATAGGAGCACTTGAAATCATGCAAATTGCGAAGCAAATTAAAATTTTGTAATAAATTTATTACTTTGTTCCCATTGTGATTATAAATTAGACTTGAAATATTAATTATAATATAAGAAGAAAAATATGAGATAAAATTATTTATCACAAAAAATTAACTCACATTGCAACCAACATGATCTCAATACACTCCTAGTGTATGCAAAAACAGTTGCTATACATGAAAAAATAAACTGAGTAAAAAATTATATTAAATAAAATTACAATAAATATATATTTCTCAAAATATACCTATTTTTAGTATCACTAACTTCAAGTTTCATTAATGTAGACAACTGAAATAAGTTAGTTCTTGTATAAAGAGTCTAAGGACTAATAAGACCATTTACTTAGACTGGGACTAAAATGACCTCTCACAAATAGTCAAGGGACAAATTAAATCATTTTTTACTAATTACTTTTGTTAAATGATAAATATATTAAAAAACCAAACATATCTTCTATATGTTAAAACATTAAATAACAAAATAAGAAAAATGACACACAAGCCCAAAAAAAACTGGATGTTTCCATCACATTATTATGCTTAAATGATACCTTTTAGATGGAGCGTCCCTCATAAGATAGCCAATAATATTGGAGTTTCTTAACTAGTCAATCATTTCAACATCATCCTACTGGTTAAAGAGGAAGGTTCTAAGTTTTATCGAGTACAAGAAGCAAGATTTGCCAATAAACTTGTATAAAAAAGGTTACAGTTCACGAGACAGAATAAACGCTAATATTGGTATCTAGTTACGAATATTAGTATTACATTGTTTTATCAAAAAAAAAAAAAAAAAACTCTTCAAAAGACATAAAAAATCCTGTCCATAGAGACAATGTTTAATTTGTAGATGAGGATGATGCTGTGGAAGAAGATAGGAGTTCCAATCAGATAGTAATATGTTGGACCAAGGATTGAATGGGCATTTGGTGTAGTGTAGTATCCGCCTTATAATCTCTGAAAACTTTTCCTAGATGGGAGAACCTATAAAGGCTATAGGTCTTGCAATAAGAAACAAATGTTAAATCAAGAGAAATGAATAAGCCAGTAAAAATATGATGAGAAAAAAAAAAGGGTAGGGTTTGGGTTTTTTATGTCACTCTCAAGCCAAGATGAAAAAGAATGACGGCTGATAGTAAAATTAATAAATGATTGAAAATTTTATGTCAAAATTCCTTAAATGAATCCAGATTTAAATTTTTGGGGCATTTACACACAATTTTTATATATTTAAATATCTAACACTTAAACATTCATAATTACATGCAGACTACTCAGATCTTTAATATCACATCAAAATACCACCATCACTACATTTAAGTAAAATACACATTTTCATGTATGGTTTTATGACACCAAGGTGTTATATAAGTGTAAATATCAAATTTTGGGTGTGAGATATGTAAATACATAAGAGTTATTTGGTATATGTAAATTTCCCTAAAATTTTTCTAGTGCTAGAGTGATCCTCAAAGAGATGTGTTATGATCTAACCCAATAATGGTGAGAAGCAAAATGGGATTCCTAGGACATCATCCAAAAGTGATGTGTCATAAACTAACACATTTATCATGAAAAATATTTAATCATTGACTAAGACATCAACTGCAAGTGACGCACTACTTAACCCAATTATCATGGGAAATATTAATTAGGTCTAAAATTAATATTAGATTTGCTACATGGAACTTTTGAACTTTGAATGTGAAAAAAGGAGAGTTGGTGAACACCATAATTAAATGAAGAATAAATATTGGAAAAAGGAAATAATTTTTAGGTGTTATAACTGAAACTATTTAAGTGTTATAACAGATGATCACACATGAAACCTTCTTGCAACTATTTGTCAAATTAGACTTGCACCATGTCAGTGTTACAACAGATAATTGCCAAATTGAACTCTCAAATTAATCAAGATTCTCTTAAATTTGAAGTCTATATCATGACCCTCAGGTCTACCTTATTTGAATTGGACCTTATTAGAAGAATGCCTAACACTGGCCGATACCCAAGCTGCTGCAATAAACTAATTCTTCTATTAGTTAACTGCAGATTTGATAAAAACACTATAGCTCACTTTCTGATCGATTGGTTCCTCAAAAGAAAAGATTCACAATACATGCAAAACCATAAAGCAAGGAATTTCACATTTAAGAATACAGCCACTTATTGGAGGACAATCATACCTTTTCTTTAGCCCGTGGTGTGCCTGATTGTGACAATGCTACTAATGGTGGCACAGCACCCTCTTGGAGAACTTGGCTACAAAATCTGTTGCTATTTGTACATAGCTGAAGCAAAGCTGCTGCTGCATTTTCCTTCCCTCTTGCTGATCCTAATTCAACAACTTCCACAAGCACAGGGATCCCGCCTTCATGTTCAATTGCAGTCCTTCCTTCAGGCGTGGTAGCAAGGTTAGACAAAACAGCTACAGCCTTATCAACCATGCCAGCTGCTGGATCCATTAGCTCAACCAAATGCCTAACAGCCCCAGCCTGAACAATTCTTGTTTTGTTGTCGTGAAATATTGATAGATTAAACAAAGCTGTAGCAGCATCCTTCTTTCCTCGTGGTGTCCCATTACCTAACAAATCAACCAATGGATTGATAGCTCCAGAACGTCCAATCCTAACCTTGTTTTCTTCAATGACAGAAAGGCTGAATAGTGTTGCAGCTGAGTTTTCTTTTGCTTCAGGGCTTCCTGTTTGAAGTACATGAATGAGCGGATCAATTGCCTCTGCATTAGCAATCGCCATCTTGTTGTTGTCATTGATTGATAAGTTTAAAAGCGCAGTTACAGCATCCTCTTGGACCTTTTGATCAGCTGAATGAAGAAGACCAACTAATAGGGGTATTGCCCCACAATTGGCAATCACTATCCTGTTCTCCATGTTATGTTTAGCAAGAAGGCGTAGCTCTTCTGTGGCAGCTCTCTGCAAATCAACAGAATCACTTCGTAGATCTTCAACCAGTTTCCGCACCTGCGTCTCAATGCCAGTTAGGTCCGGTCGTCTATCCAAAGAGGGTGAGGAAATGATTTTTGGAGTAAATCTTTCTGATGGACGCCGCCAAATGGTTTGAGTTCTTGACCTAGTTTCTGCCAACTTTGATGAAAATTCAGGTTCTATCAGTGGGCCAGAGGAAGTTGGAGCCTCCTGCATAACTTCACCTGAAGTATCGCTGCTATAATGAGTAAGGTCGCTAGGTACCCGAGAGATAACACGCATATCTCCTAATCCTTCAGGATGATCATTAGTTGAAACGGCACTGCTATAATGAGTGGAAGCAGAAGCGCTGCGAACATGTTGCCCAAGATTGGATTGAGTTGAAGTTTGACCACCAGAGCTAACGTGTCTATGTGATAACCTGGATTCACTCTTGTTATCAGGACCTGATAATGACATCCTTGCAACATCTATATCAGAGCCATTAGTAGCCTGAAAAGATGAACCCATTGATTTTGAATTACGGTGATGAGATAAAGCTTTCTCATGAACGTGGCTTTCTATATGTATCCCATTGGAAGAAGTTTGATCCTTATGCACATTTACTGTCGATGAATTTTGCTCTGCTGGTCTAGAATATTTACTCCTAGATGGCTGATCAGATGGGGAGGGATTACAGTCATTTTCCTTGGTATCCATAGGGTTGATGAAAGCAGAGGGTAGGCTTTGATTCATGGACCTAAGCGGATCAGGTAACTTGATGCTGTTAGAGTCACACCAGCTTGCAATAAGCGCCTTAACAGTATAATTGGGTATCAAATTGGAGTGCCCAAGTGTTTGTCGGGTCTTGGGGCAAACATTAAACCCTTGATCAAGCCATTTTCTAATAAAGGCCCGCTCATAAGTTTGTCCAGATGCCACAATCACAGGATCAGACATCAATTCTAGGGAGAGTGGACAGCAAAAGTCAGGAGGAATGGGCACCCCATTGATGCTGTGCACCTGTTTTACTTTAACAAGACAATCATGCATATAACTGACAAGTGCAATGATATGATCAATGTACTCTATTTCTGTATGATTATCGCTACGAAATACTTTTGATTTAAGCTTATCCAATGCAACGACCTCCATAAGCAATTCTTGATTAGAAGACAAGTTCAAGAAGGTTGAAATTTTCTCCAGATGATCAGAACTAGGCACCCTTTTGTCTTTCTGATCTGTTATGACTTTTTTAATGTTATCTGAGATTTTTTCAAAATGTATTAGCTTAATCTTCTTCATTGAATCCTGAAATTTAATTGCAAGAAATCAGGAGGTACAATAAGTAGAAAATTCAATAATTAGTGAGTTGAAAAAAGAATATTTCTGAGCATACTTTCATCACCTCAACACTTTCTACAGTAACATTAGAAGGACATAAGAAAATAAGTAGTTGGCAAGTGACAACTGCTGATGTCTGTATTTTCGTTAGTGCTGATTCGTATTGCAACACCTGAATAAAACAGTTCGGATAAAGGGTGCATCAGAATAAAAGGGTAGCTGGCTCGGGAATGCAATCATTAAGGAAAAAAGAGATCAGAAAGCGAAAGAAAAAAATATCTTCAGTGGCAAAATGTATAAATGGATAACCTAAAATAGAAATAAGCAGATTTCTATAAATTACCAGGCAATAATAGATACTTGAAGCATCTGTCTCCCCTTTTTCCTAGACCCTTTTACCTAGCACTATATTTTATTTATCAAGGACCTCTTTCAAAATCTTAGCATCCATTTTCAATAATTCTTCTGAGTTCTGCATTAAATAGGTCTTCAATAAGTTTTCAAAGTGAGTTAAAAAATTATTTAAATTAGTTAACGTAGAACATATGTGAACACCAGTGATCCAAAACAATAACATATATAGTGTGCTAACATCCAGTATATTGTTTTTATAAATCCTCAAAACTATTTTGGGCCAGCTTTATAAATCCTTGTGTTCAATAGCATGATATAAATTTTATGATTGATTGTAGACCAAACAATCTTAGCCAATTCACAGAAAAAGAGGCCTAGGTCATTGTGCTATATATTTACCCGAAATTTTCCTTCCATAACTTCAGAATACATAACTTCAGAAAATGGAAAATTATCACATTTTCCGACTACTCTCCATGCAAAGCCTTCCATTATCAAGCAATTGCCAGATTGGGAGTACATGGCCAGATTCCGACTATACGAAGAATTTTAAAAAGCAACACCCTCTACGGTTTTTATAGCAAGGGATATTTATAAAAAATATTTAAAGCTATATGACCAGAGATATAATTTTTTCATAATTTTAATTGATGAGATATCCAACAGAATAAAGAAAGAAATTAGAATAGAGGAGAAAATATTTATAAGATGAATATCTTAGGAATTAGTAGAAGAAAGACTAAATATGTATTATGTAATTTTCATGAGTCTGGTATTAACATTATCATTCAATATTATTAGAAAATAAGGTGACACCCAAGTCAGATAGGTTTAAAAATATTGGATCTATTATGTAGAAAAAAAAAAGGAAACAACTTCTAGAGTTTTGACTAAGAGATTAAAATAGAGAAGTACCTTCAAAATTTAATGTATAAATGATATTATGAAGAATTAAAGATAAACTTATAAAAGCGTAGACATTGTATGAATCTAAATGTTTGACAGTAGAAAAATTATTGATGTCTAATTTGACTGTAGAAAAAAATGAAAAGGTCAGATGAATGTATGAAGAAAATTAAAAATAATAATTAATCATAATTATATAAGAAAAGATGTTGGAGTAGAATAAATTGAAAAAAATTCACTGAAAATAAACATAGGTGGTTAAACTATATAAGGTAGAAAATATAACTATTAGATGAGTTGAGAAAATTTGAGTCAAGAGACTAGGAACTAAAAGGTGGTGCACCTAAAGTTATATGGATGGTTGCTATTCAAAATTATGTGCAAGGAATAGTTTTAACACCTCAAATAATGCTTAACAAGAAAGAATGAAAAACGCCAAATGCAATAGTCCGAACAAGGCTAATGATAATGATGGTGATTTGGGGGTTATAACTACATCAGATTAGTTTGGTTGTTGCTTAAATTGAGAAATAAGCCAACTCTAACATGCTTGCAAGAGTAAGGGTTTGTTTGGAGCAGCTGCAGCTTATCCAGATAAGCTGTTGATTAGAAGCTGAAATTTGGTTTGTGTTTTTTTAAAACAGCTGATTTACATTTATTTTTGGATAAATAATCATTTTGCCCCTTATTTAGATAAGCTATTTGGTTTATGCGTTTGGAAAACAGCTGATCTCCCACTCATATATTGATATCAAAATTTTGACTTTATACTAACATCTAGTGAAAAAATTAGAGCGAAAACAAGAAACTAGCAGAAAAACAAAAGTATCAACACCAAATAAAACATCAATGCATATCAACATAAGCTTTACAAGAGTACAGATGCAAAACGGATGCAAAGCAACAAAGCTAAAAATCATCAGTTACCTTAATCCCATATAACAGAGAGAATCATCGACAATCCAAAGGAATAGAACAACAACATCAAAGAACCAAAATTGAAAATCACAATTCACCACTACGCCTCATTTCTCCCAAAGCTGAGAAAGAATATATACAAGCTTGTTGCAAGCATGTCTAGTGCAAATCATAATGGAAAAAAAGGAGCAAAATGAAGACATCAAATTAATAACAACTTGAAGGAAAAGAGGCTCCCCCAATTCCTAGAATCACCACAGTTATCTCATCTCCCAAAATAAGAAATAAATTCATAGATAAATATACCTAAACTCTCCATCAAAACTTCAAGTAATTGTTGGTCGGAGATATTGGCCAAGTTGGGCGGGTAAGAGGGCGGAAATAAGGGTGGAGAGGAGAAAACGAACCAGGAGGACATCATGATCTACAAATTTAGGAATAGAGTTCAACTAGACTTTTTTCAACTTTTTGAGCAAATCTCAAATACTTCTCTAGATAATTATGGCATTTCACAATTTATTCACCTAAAAGCCATTATTATAGCATCAAAAGAGATCAAAGGCCCAAACCATGGAATTACTAATGAACTTAGACCAAAGAACTTAAAAAAAAATCTCTAAAGGGAGGAAAAAAGGTTCAAGAAATGCGCATAGGGATAAAAGCATTATGTTCCACAACATAAGATTGGAAACGCCTAAACACGATGGCTAGACCTCTGCCCTGTCAATGGCATCAAACCCTCCCCTACCATTGAAACAGCTCCTCCTGATCCGCTTACATATTCAATAAACAATGCAGATTGCAGAATCGTTAAATATTATCGTCCATAGCTGTCCTTCGGTGATAGCAAAACCAGAACCGAAGAGGAATTGCGAGACCTCGGTCCATAGCCTGGCTTTCGGCAAAGGAGCGGGTAGAGTTCCGTGAATGAGCGCGTTCTTAAGAAATTACAAAGCGTCGTTTCAGGATCATCACCTCAAAAGTGCAAACCAAACGACGAGGCGACATTTTCAAAATGCCGCCCACACTTATAAGCTGCCCCAAACGGGCCCTAAAAATGTGATTAAAAAAATGTATGAATTCTAATTGTTCAAAATGATAAGTATAATGTTCAAGTGGCATACTAATCATGAATTACTTGATGAATTGCTTTAACGGTTATTGTATGGCCATGCAATAGACTCAACCTTAATGGTTCAAGCAACACATAATAAACCTCTCAATTCACAAAAGAAGAGAATTTTGTTGGGAAAGGCATTTTGGGGTTGATACGAAACAACCTGAGGTATTGGTTCTTTAGAACTATGACCAAGCTGAAGTCCGTGCAAAGTCAAATAGAACAAATTTGTTAATTCTGAAGAACTGAATATGTAGATATGCATACCACTTTTCAAGGGGTATCAAATTTCCATCACGACATATTAATAATGAATTCTCACCAACTTTATAGATTAGTTTAACTACAGCAATAGTGACAGTGCAAGCAGTCAAGAATTAAATAATCATTTCAATGATCAACAGCTACTAATTGACAAAAAACTGTTGGAATAAAAAAGAAAAGGAAAGGGAATATAAAAAAGAAAATAATATAACCAAAATCATAGAACTAACTTCAAGCCCATAATCTAAAACGTTCATTTACTCGGGTTCCTTTATTCAATAATCCAGAAAAAAAAAAATGCAAAAGAAAAAGCTTGGAAAAAAGAAACACATTCACTGGATGCATTTTTCCATGTAGATGCAAAATGTACTTCTATAAAAATGATTAGTCTTTCTTTTAGAAGAAAAATCAACCAATGATACTGATGATAAAACCTTGCAGGAGTTTTTTAATTAATTCCCTTCTCATGGAACCGACAGAATAAGGAGCACAATGAAAAATAACAATATGCAGCAGAGAACTGAATGGCATAATATTTTTCAGTTTTTAGCATACAAGAATTTCATTTTATAGGGGAAACAGTTAAAAGATTTTCATTGAATCTTTTCATTGTCCCGGTTACAAAGTGATTATCATAATATAGGCATGCAATCAAAACAAAAAAAAAGAGGTTGCTATTGTACATACAGAGTAAACTTTACTCATCGTTTGATGCCAATTTCCAAGTAGTTCCTTCGCTTCATTAACTAAAGTATCAAGTTCTCCCAACATTTTATTCAGTTTGTCATCTGGAGCTATCTCAGAGATGGAAGCCTCTTCCAATGCAGGCTTCAACAACATTAAGATCTCATCAATTGCTTTGTAGTATCTGTGAACCAGCCCTGATTTTATGGTATTACATGAAGACAAGTGGCCAAAGCATGATATGCTATTAAGAAGTATCATCACTAAAGTCATATCCATTGGACCTGTCAAAACACAGGTAAATACCTTAGAATAGAAGGCTACTCCACGCCAAACACATATGTCTGTAAAATCACAAACATTTGCACTTCCATAAGTCCTAACATTTGATACCAAGAAAGGAATATAAATAAGAAGTGACTGAAGTTGAAAAATCACAGTTAGAAATATCACTATTTTTCAGGAGTTAGTCCCAAGAAATAAAGAGGCCGTGATTGGAACAGTGGTCAAGTTATCGCCAGTGAAATTAGAGGTCCTATATTTGAGTCATGGACATATCCCATGTAAATACAATGATGAGACTGTATACACAACCCCTCCTCATGCAATGCCATAAGGGGAGCTCCAAGCACCATGCATAACCCTTTTTTTAGCTACAAAAATTGATTCAATCAAAATAAAAAAATACATCATTACATGAACAATCTAATGAAAATTTAGCAGACGAGCCAAAAAAGGCTAGGCTAACCTTCAATAGTCTTAACATGATAACAGAAACAATTAAAGTTTGTTTGATAATATTTTTATACGCTTTATGACAGTAAGTTGCTGTTGTAAAATAAGTGTGCCTTGTCTGGGCAGGAATAAAATTCATAAGGTAGCTTCCGAAAGCACCTTCTCAACCTCTATAGTCTTAACAAAATGACAAAGAATTAAGGTTTGCTTGATAATGTTTTTAGAAGCTTTGTGAAAGTAGACTTGCTGTTTTTAAGTAAGTGCACCTTGTCAAGGCTGAGAAAAAAAATCATAAGATAGCTTCCGAAAGCACCTTCTCAACTTCCTTATGACAAGAAGATACCCAAACAAACCAAACTTTAGCGGTTTAGCTTAAGAATTGAATTACCAAGAAACATTCCTACTAGGGCACTATCTAGTTCATTACAACAAGTGCCTAAGCCTACTTAAGAGAAGTTAAAATTTCAAGATTCCCAGGTACATCATTTCAAGTTCTGCTGTAAAAATTTATCAACTGACAGAAATAAATCAAAGAAGCATCCAAGCAAATTTTAACGGGTTCAATTCATGGACAAAGAATAAGAGTTGGGCAGTCAATCTAAGCATTCGAAGCCCCCTGCCTTCAAGAATGGAGACATTTTTATTAAAGTGAGATGGCCCAATTATTATCTAAAGATTAGTCAGTGAAAACAAAAAAAATGTGGGAAGAATGAATTTCTGTTTAATACATAAAATGGTTTTCAAAAGCTTGACTGGCATATTCCTGAGGCAAAATATTGGATCAGCCTCTCTTGTATTCAAACATTTTACTAAGTTGTTGTGGTTAAGCATCAAAGATTTGGTGGAGTAAGAAACAGAAGAAATTATTAAGAAAAAAAATATCCTTTAAAAGATAAATGCTAATGAGGATTGTAGTAATTATAATAAAGTTAGAACTCCTAGAAACAGTATAGTGAGAAAAGCAAATACTACAGCTTTTGAGAATTTATATAATAAGTTAGACACTTAAAAAAATAAGATATATAAAATAACTAGAAAAAAGATAACTAATCCAAATGCATGAGAGGCAAAGTTAACATGATCCAAGTAAATCATAAAGAAATTGAGAAAAAAAACAAATAATGTTTTAAAAGTATTAAATAAGAATTTTAATGAAGATATTCTCTGCTACATCAGCATTAACAAGCGTGGGCCACTTGAGCAACGCCGTATCGTGGATTCAAGCACGGTCCAAGACCGACACCTTCCTTCCCTCCGCAATCCTCCACCTAACTATCATTTGAAGGCTCGCCGCACCAACACAAACAACTTGCCATGAAACAGAGGTCCCTCTCCTCGTGTAGTTGGTCTACCGATTGTCCCCATATATACATCTTAGGCATCTATTAAGAAGACTATTGGGCTCGGTCACAAAGGCCCACTCAATCCTGTCCCGCAAAGGTCCCTTCCATGTCTTTGTCGCATGAAACACTAGTTCCCCATAGCTACATGTTGCCAAAGCCTTCCCCGGCCCATGTAATGCAGCCCCTTGCTCCGATTCAACCCATTCCATAGAGAATTCATATATTTCACTTCTTCCAGAACCGCCGCCGGAACTTCAGTAGACCAATCTCTTATTTCAGTCAAGTGCTTACTGCAAAAGCCATACTCAAGTTAGTTTATGATTAAGGATCATATGACTTAATCTAGCACGAGTTTTCTCTCTTCCACCTTGAAGACAATGTGTCTTTTTGGGATGAGAGTAATGTTAGACCAGCGCCTACGACACCGTCCACCTACTAATCGCAAAAACAGTTTGAAGACTTATGATGGGCGTAAGACTAAAAGGACAATTGAATCATTTGTTAGTTAATTCTTATGGGGTATATAAATAGGGCTTAATAAGTTTAGGATAAAATTATGTGATTGTTGTCCTGAATCTTAGGATTAAGGTTTGGGAGAGATCGTCAGCCTCTCGAATTATAAGTGTTTATATTTTATATATTCAAGATTATATCATTTTGATTTTCATACCAGTGAAATAAAATCAATTATTTTTGCACTAATTTCTGCAAAAAAAAAAAAAAGTCTTGTTCCTATCAAATTCATGAGTCATACAATGAAAAGAATGAGTACCGACTCATAAAAATAGAAAAATAAACAGTAGATTTAGAAGATCAACGTGGTTTTATGCTCGAAATATCAATTACGCCATCAAATTTTGTATTGAGACCAATAATGAAAATATATAGAGAGAAGAAAAGATTCTTCAGATGATTATCTCGGGAAGAAATATAATCAAGAACTATGAGAATTGAATTGATGCACATTAAAAAAGGATAGAAGATATTAGTCAAAAAAATATTGAAGTTATTAAAAATATGTATAATTGAGAACAAACTAGTATTAAAAATAATTGTGGAGTCACTAAAGAGTATCCAATTATAGTAAGATTGCTTAAGGAATTAATATTGACTTGATATCATTTTGAATTGTGTGTGGAGCTGCTTATAAAGGATATTTAAAGTAAGCTGCCTTAATATATGCTTTTTACAAATGGAATAGATCTAATCGATGAAACTTTTTCTAAAATATGAAAATTTAAAAGAATAGAAAAAAAAATATTCAGAAGACAAACTGCTTAGAATTATTAAATGTGATATATAATCTGAGTTGTGCGATATTAATAACTACCAATCAATACTAATATAAGATCAAGCTGATACCCAGGCGTGATTGGCTCAAGTATATTGAATATGACAAACAAGAGGACATAAATATCGATGAAGACATAAATTGAAGTTGTGTGGTTAAAAAGAGAAATATCTAAAAAAAATATCATGTGAAGAGAAAATCATGTAGAACGAAAAGTGAATCACATAGATATGTCATTTTGTAAATTATATCAGTCGCAAACAAGAATTTTCATAATCAAGCACGACGTAAATAATAATATTAAGATGCATGTGTGACAAATTGGGACAAATAAAGGAATGATTATATTAAACAATCATTGAAATAACATCCACTGAAGATATGGTTACTGAAAATAAATTTAAATGGATCGGGCATGTACAATCATAACATTGTTAAGTCAATTCTATCACTATATAATCCAAAATTTTCTAATTTTTGGGCCAAAATGAAGCATGAATGCGTCAATATGGGAATCATGATTTTGACGTTGTTCAACTACTTGCGTATAGGTACCTTGAAGAATATTTTCTTCATAAGCATGCCCAAGCATCATACATGAAATCAAGCTTTTGATGTCCAAGTATATAGATGAAATCAAGTTGAGTTTAACTATATTTAAATTCAAAACAAAATCTAAATGCTTCACTCAAACATGACTCAAAATGAAATCATTTTGCAACAACTAGGCTCAACTCTAAATAATTCAATGTCCAACCAACTCGATTTTAAAATTTCAGTTTCAAGTTAACTCAAAATCAATTCAAGCAGACAAAAAAGTCATTAATTAAATATACAGAAAAATATAACTATTGTACTATATATTATACGTCCATTCTGTTTTATAAATTATATATTTTATATTCGTATTTGTGAGCCAACATGAACTATAATTGAGTAAATCAAAATTACACAGCATTGGTTTCAACTTTTGAAACCAACTTTTTATCAAAACGACGTTTAGGGACCGTTTGGTTGGCGGCGAGTTTCATAAAATATGCCCAGAACTCCATTTTTAATTACTATAGAAATGCAAATGAGGATGGACCCCCGGGTTCTGTCGTTTACTTCTTAACAACTAGGATATGCTTCTTTCGCCATTGTGCCCTCGCCAGAGCCTCCTTTCTCTCGCGAGCCCTAAGCGTTCCCGCGGGTTGTCTCGCTTTATCTTGCTCTCAATCCCTATCGGCCAATCCCCCCCACACCTCGACCCCCCTCTTTCTCCGCTCGTCTTTTAAACTCTCTAACATTCCTATTCTTTCGCCAATGTCACCCCTTTTTCTTCTATTGAGTTGTTCACACGGGATTTGAAAATCAGTTATGTTTTTTATGGAATTATGCCATGATATTTTCAAAGTGCAAAGATTGATATGAGATTACCATGTTGTGTAGTTGCGTTATGGAATTATGATGTGAGATTCTTCTGTAATGTAGTAGAATTTAGATATCCGCCCATCTTTTTGTGCATGAATCAAGAAAATATACAGATAGTCCAAATCCGAATTTGTGATTCTACAGTAACCTTGTATGCTAGATATTTAAAAAAATAGATTTATTTTTCCTCACGCATCTTCAGTATTTCAAAAGTAACCTTAAATAATTGAGATTCAAAGTGTATTCAGATCCAAATTCCACAATATCAACTCAAATATTCAGCATACGAGGTCACTGTAGAATCGCGCACAGTAAAGGATATGAATGAAAAATTGAAGAATTATGAGGGGAAATAATTTTATCTTCTTATAAATTAGTTGTCTGACATTATTTCTCTAACTTCCTATTTCAATTATATAAAGTTGAATGAATGATATGAAATGCATATATACATACATATAAAACAAAAGAATAATGTTTTTGTTTTCTGTCAATTTGCATT